CCTCGCCTGGCCTCTCAGGACTGTGGGGATGCTGCAACAGTCGTAAGTGTGAAAAAGGGTCATAAGTCACTGTTTTCAGTGCCATTGTAACTTTGAATGGTCACTCCACACAAGCAAAGTACCAGCAAAGGAGGGGGAAAAAACTCCAGAGAAGTTCCTGAGACAGGAAGTCTAGTCCTGCCAAGAATGTAATAAGGGTTAATGGAGAGGCAGTTTCTGTAAGCAACACCAGAATGTTTCCTTCCTGCCTTCCTTACAGGATTAGCCCAGTAATTTCTTCTAACAACCGGTTCTCCGAACTGCTTAGAATGTTAACAACCGGTTCTAGCGAATAGGTATGAACTGGTAGAATCCCACCCCTGCTTTTCTCCCACTGAGAAGGTTCCGTATCCCATCCAATCACAAACCTGGTCCTGTTATGTGGCCCATAAAGAAAAGGGCAATCAAAATAATGCTGATGAAGGCTGCTGCAGGAGTGTCAATCTGTGGGGAAGAAGGAAGCACTTGTGGGGTGATCATCAAAACAGTAGTATTCCTTCCGGCCTGCCTGACTCTACATCTTCCACCAACTTCCTATCATCCACAGGGTTTAGGAACCCCCATCAATAGAAAACTGGTATGAACTCTATGAAATGGAGTGACTGGATGAAATTGATGAATCGGTGAAATTGACCAACTGGATGAAATTGAGGGATTGGTGAAATTGATGGACTGGTGCAACTGACCAACTGGGTGAAATTGACAAATTGGTGCAATTGAGCAACTAGGTGAAATTGACAGATTGGTGCAATTGAGCAACTGGATAAAATTGACAGATTGGTGAAATTGACCAACTGAATTAAATTGATGGAAATTCATCAGACTGGCTGGGAAGATTTGTATGTGTGAAAAAAAAAACACCACAGGGATGTTAAGGAGGAGGGGCATTTAAATTGCCCCAGAGCAGAGAGCAAGAAGGTAACCTACCTTAAAAGTGAAGACTAGGGCAATATTTGAAAGGCTACACATCAAGAAGCCACTCAAAAGGAGAAATCTCCGCCCCAAGGAGTCGACGGTGCAGATCTAGAAAAAAGAATTGACGGTTCAGGACAGCCAAGAACACAAACCAATGGATCATCAAACAAAGGAGCCCACAATTTTTCATCAAGGCTGAAATGATTCTGGTCTTTGCTTTTCCTGTCGTGTTTTTGCTAATTTGAACTGTTCCCTGCTGGTTGTAGTGCTTGGGGTACATTATCCTAAGTTGGTGGGGTGACAGAGGCAGCAGATAATGCAAACAAGCCAGTAATCAAGTGGGGATTCACGGCGGCTTACGGTTGTCAGAAGCATCAGCTGGATGATCAAGTTTCCTACTAATGGGATGAGATTCACAGCTTTGGTGGACAGTCCTAAAGTTTTATAGCTCTGCTCCGCAAAAATTAAAACCTGTAATCAAAGACAAAAGATGTGTAGATAGAGGCACACATAGAACTTGGGTCAGGCTCTAAAAGCCCCTGTTGCAATTCTTCTATGTAGATTCATCTCCTGCAGACAGAATCATGCCACACTAAAGCATCATAAAGCTTAGACTCTGGGAACTATTAAGGAGGAACCATCCTCACCTTATTTCTCTCACACTAACTATCTCAACTGTGTTGTCTCTTGCTTCTCTGGAAGGCAGCTCCTCCCTCCTGGGAATCCAGGCCGCACTCCATCACACTTTGCCCTTTTGTAAAATGTAACAGCTGCCTCTGCTACCCTGGAACCCAGGAAGAGTCTGGATGTGGATCCAGAAATGCTGTTCCTGGCTACAAACCAGCGTTCAGCACTTTGGGGAAGGACAGAGACTCCAAATTTGAACTGTGCAAAAGCAAACCCTACGCGAGATTGCTCAGGGAAGTCACCAACCGCGTTTGTTTCCACCAATTGACTTCCAGAGACCATGACCATGACGGTGATGAGATGCCACCGGAGGCTGCGGAAGCGAAGAAGTTTCCACGCTGTCATGTTGTTCTGGCTGCTTTCGGCAAGGTGTTCCTGACAAAGTTCTTCCATCTCCTCCTCTACGTCTTCTTCCCCTCTCAGTTTCTTCAAGACTAAAGGGGGAGGAAGAGGAGGGGAAGACAAGATGTGCAGAGCAGTATCATGGTGGGTTTCCAAGCCCTCCGTGCAACTGGTCTTAACCCTGGGGTTATGAAGGGCTCGGATGGTCCAGGGCTCCCAGGTGGTGGGAGCAAAGTCTGTAACCTATAGTCTGTTCTTCTCTTCCCCTCTTCTTCCTTTTCTTCTCTCAAAACTGAGAGCTGTTGGAAATTGGAGCCATACTCCAAGAGACCCTCGTTCCATTTCACCAAGAGAAGGGCTTCCCTGGGAGGCAACCTTTGGGATGATGGCTTCCGTCTTCTTCGGAGCAAGGAGTGTGGTGAAGAAAACTGACGCTAAAGGGTTGACATCTCCACTTTTGTCAAGACAATTGTTAAGAATATCTGGCCAGATCCCCCCCTTATCTTCACCACCTTCTACGGACGTGGCTTAGCCCTGAAGCCGGGTGGCTCAGGGCACTCCAGCGGCGAGCACAGGCAGAAACCGTGCACGATCGCGGATTCCTGTCTGCCCCGAAGCGCTGCAAACCGGAACTACCCCCTGAAACCAGCGCCCCCACCAAAGTATGCCAACAGACCAAAGGGACTTCCTAAACAACCATCCAAAATGTGGTCCCCTTATGGGCCCACTATTGGCAAAGGGACTACACTTGGAAGGAGCCACCAAGCCCTGCAGATCTTCAAGGGCAGAAGCTGGAGCTATAGGCCTGAATCCTCCCTTTGGCCCAGACGGGTAGCTCGTAAGGCCGTTAATGCCAGACTCACGTGGCTGTACCTTGTCTTGCTTTCTCTTTGTCGTTCCGCTGCAAGTACAGAAACCTTGGACTTTCTTGAGAAGGCAGCAACAATATACTACTAATTACAGAAAATAGGGCTATAATGCCCACTAATAATGAAAAATCTGTGGGAGAGAGAGAGAGAGAGAGAGAGAGAGAGAGAGAGAGAGAGAGAG